TTTGATTCCCAGTCAAGGGCACATACCTGGATTGCAGGTTCAATCCAGGGCCAACTGTGAGAGGCAACCAACTGATGTCTCTCTCACATCAGTATTCTCTCTACCTCCTCCTTTCCCTCCCCTCTAAAAATCAATGGAAAAAATCTCCTTGGGTGAGGATTAATAAAAATAAATAAATACGCATCTGTCTTGAAATTTCAGCAAAAATAAGATGTACTGAGCACAATGGAAAGAAGACTGAATTAGGAACACCAGAAGAGAGGTGGGCTTACATTTTGAGGCCTGACTTTGGTAAATTATTTTACCTTGGTGCTTTCCAGTCAAATTAGGTGGAATCACCTAGTGAGATTATTAAATGTCTATATTCATGAATATATTGTTTATGTTCATATATTCTTGCAAATAAATTTTTTCTAGTGCCACCTCAATCATCCAAGCCTGTAAAAAGTGAGAAAAATCATAGGATAAAGAGGGCAGGCTTTTCTGGTTAATCATTAACTACAGACATTTGGATTTCAAATCTTGACTTTGGGATATTTACTGCATTTACTTTTAGTGGTGTATTAAAGCCAGAAGCTAAAATTATGCCAATTTGCTACAAACACAACAGTGGGTCAACTAAACAAGCCTAGAAAACATGTTTTCTTTTCCTGAACATTAACTCAAAGTAAAATGCTTAAAATGTGAAATACTAAAAAATTTATGGAATGAGTTAAGGAACTCCCTTAGGGAAACTCCAACTGCTGAACCTTGTATGGCATTCTCATCTGTATGTCCACTTACACAAACGTACACTGCAAAAGACATTTAACTCCATGTAAGGTGAGGCCTGAAAAGGTATCTTTTGGTAAAGGTGTTTCTCTTCCCCGCCTCTTAAGCTTGCTTGTCTCCACTGTGATCAGGTTAGAATAATTTTTAATGTAACTGCTGGGTCTACATCACCTTTGGGTTGCTGGCATTTCATTTCTGAGACAGCTAAGAAAGTTGACTCTTATTTCAGAAGAGAGATGCAGAAAGGCAGACAACAGATAGCTGTTTTCTCAAATTTCATAGCTTGGAACATGAAAGCATTTAGAACTGGGTAAGGCATAAAACAATTCTAACATTTTTCATAATTTAGAAGATCATTTTCTATCAGAGAACTAACTACAGTGATCCTCAATTAAGATAGGGCCTGATTTTCATAATCAACTGTGGGGCTTTTTCAAGCTACACAGGTACATAAGCAAAATCTGTTATTGTTAATTTTTTAACTTCAGCCATCCTAGGTATTATAATCATCTCTTAGTAACACAACTCAGTAATGGGAATTTTATATTCCTTATGTGGTAAGGGCTGAAAAGAATTGTTGTTGCTATCATAGGAAGGAATGAAACTGTATTTGGTAAGAGCTTAGTCATGCAAGTTTGATTTATCAACAAATTGTTGAAAGGGTACGCCTGAGGTAATCCCTGTCCTGCCCTTGGGATCCTAACTACTTTGGGACTGCCTCCTAAAAACTTACACACAGAGCGGGCACCTGTTCCAAAGCCCTCTGCTAAGTGCTTTACATAGATCAGTGTTTAATCCTCTCCCACACTCAGAGGCTACATCACTGAGGCTTAGAATACTACTAATTCCTGTGAAACTGTACAAGGCATTCAAGGTACATTTCAAACTGAAGTAGAAACCCAGGTTACCGATTTTATTCTCCAAAGCACTAGTCAGTCTTCATTTACCATCTCCAAAAGGACCACCCTCCTCCAAAGAGAGACCCCTTAAGTGTCTAAATCTTGGGGCTGCTCTAAAAATTTTAAATGCTTGTTCTCTCAAATCTTGTCTTTACTCTTTAGCAGATATGGGTAAAGAATGCTATAGGATTTTGAATGTAAAAACCCCAAATTTAGTGAGTCAAATTTGGAGCTCAAAAAGATACTATATTACATATCATGTACCCAAATATCAAGAACACTAAGATAACATCAATAATTTTTAAAACTTAGGATTTAGGGAAAGGAGTTATTAAAAAAATTATTTTCAGAAAGTTCTAGTATCTGGCTGCCTCTGTCTACAGACTTGTTTCTTTTAAATATCTGTATAGCTTTACCATAATTCTGTGGTAGCACTAACCTCTTACCAGATTAAGTGTTACCACTTCCTTAGCATTAGACTAAACCCTTACTCTAAGAAATATCCAGGCAAGTCAAGATATTTTGGTATTCTCAAGGCTAAAACTGATCTTCTTTTCCCTCCCTCCCCAACTACCAAGTATAAATTGATCCCTAGGTGATTTCCTCATTTACACATTTTCATTTATGGGTATAATTAGTAATAAATCTAAAATCTCTCAAAACTTATTACCAGTGTAACAAACCACTAAAAACAAATATGGATGTGAAGGACTACTCTACCCCACCACTGTACAGTCACCTATAGTTTTAAAAATACAAAATAGCTGGTTTTAACCCTGGAGAATTTTGCCGAGGTAGGTTGGCAATAACTATGTATTTTTAGAGTTCTATAGGTGATCCTGACACTTAACCCTGTTGAAAAAAACCCTTGCTCTAACAGCAACTGATTCAATACAATACTCTTTACGAGCTACCTATAATTATAATAAAAATCAATGTCCTAATTTTCTTTTAAAATTTTTCCCCATCATCATTTATCCTCCCTAATTTTCTTTAGAGAGATGGAAAAAAAGTAGGTTTCTGTATCTACTTAAGGCATTCCTAATTCTACTCTTCAAGTTTTCCAAACCCAGTGTCTTCTCTGGGATACTGAGGTTATGTTTTAGAAGCGGACATCATCAACTCAACTATTAGTTTTGAAAATAAAATTTCTAAAAACACAGTATAGATTTTTTCCCCCCAGGAGGTAAGGGATAACCCATGGAGTCTTTTTGTTGACATTAGCTAGATCTGTTTCATTTCTTTATAGTTAGATGTCCATTGGATATAAGGTTGGAAAAACTTCAAACTACCCAAACACATGACAAATTATAGAAATCAGTGCATTACATCGGTCTCACTTCTCACACACAAGGTTTCCAAGAAATCTGTTGGCGTTTCTTCCCCGTTCAAATTTGTCTTCCATAGTAACTCAAATTGAGATTGTTATTGCTTATATAAAGAAACATAAAATGAACAAAATTCACTATGCTTTTGTATAAGACACAAAAACATCCTAAATAACCAAATCCTAAAAATAATTTAAAAGTTTGAAACTAAGCCTAAATGTAAACCTGTCTAGTCTATTTCATGTCAATTAAGCTTAAAACACTTCTAGAGTTATACTGAAGGTCAGAAGTAGTAAACACTATTCCTTTTCCTATACTTACCACCATTACTTGCAAAAATATTGAGTAACAGAATTATTTGCTTGAGCCCTGTCCATTGCTACAGTCATGGATAAATGAAACCAATACATATTACCTTTGTTTAAAAATAAAACAAAGCCATTCATCTTGTGACTTGTTCCCAGAAACGTGACATATAAAATCACTCTTCATAAAACTGTTTTTGTAATTAACATTTGTATACATTTAAGAGACTATTTCTACCATGTTTATCGTTTGTAATAATTGTGCCTAGCCTTTCTTCCATAAGATAATTCGTTTATCAGCTACAGTTTTATTAACTCCTAACAGGTGAAGTGCATACCTTGCTGACCCCAAATAACTAGTTAATTTTGTTTTCAGAGTAAGGTGCAAAAGGGAGGAAGAAAAACAGCACAAAGCACATCAGCATTTTTAACCCTTCAGACACCCTCAGGAGGAAAAGAAAGTTCCCATCTTTCCATAGTGTAGACAGACTCTGAAAAATAAACACAGAGCATTGTTTTAGTAACACGATTGATAGCACAGTTCATTTGAGATACTAGAAGATATAACTTAGACCAGTGACTTTGGTTTCAGTTATTTAGATTAAAAAAAAATTAATTGTTGAAGTAGTTGTAAATAAGGAGTACTGCAAATTTAAGTAAGTTGGTGATCCATGCTTATGAATATCCCATCTCCGCAGTATTTTAGCGTATACTCCAGGTTTACCCAAGAACCCGTGCTACTCGGGGAACCGATCGCCAGCCTTAAAGAATATCCCCCCTCCAACATCTCCCTGCTTCTGCTGGCAGGTATGAACGTGTCATTTTAACCCTGGTCGGTTTCGCCTTTAGGCCTCTCCCTATATTTTCTGAATTGTGGTGCCAAAGCCCAGCCCGTCCCTTCGCAGCTTGTCCTGCCTTCCAACATCGATTTCTTTAGACCCTTTTGCAAATCAGTCTGTATGAAAAACCAACGAGGGTTCGAAACCTTCAGAAGGGGTGTAAGGAAGGATGGAAAATAAACGAAGGAGTTAAAAATAAATGTGCAGGGCAACAGCCCAATTCTGTGGGTGGAAGCTTTTTCCGACCACAGGAGAGAAGGTCGCCGCCTGGGGTCCCCGCACCCCAACAAAGATATTAACCACCCCGACTGTCCTGTTAAAGGGTCTAAATGATGCTGCGAATCCAGAATTGAACTGACTCCCTCAGGATCTTACTTAGAAAATGAAACAAGAGGTTTAGGGGGCCTATGCAACCCCCGCAGCACCGCAGCGAGGATGAGGCCCACTCGACCTCTGGATGCCGCCTCCAGCCAGACCCGCCCTACATCTGTCCCCAGGTGAAGGCTCCAACCCGCCCTCCCCCCGGTTCCCAGGTCCCAGCCCCGGATCTCCTACACCTCACCGTCCCCACGACACTGCCACTCGGCTCCCGAGCTTCCTAAAACCTCAGCGAGCTCCGCAGAATCTTCCCAGCACTCCTAACATGGCGGCCGAGCTTCCCTCGCTCCCTGCGCTCGCTCGGGGCGCGTCCGACCCCGGCGCATTTTGGGTATTGTAGTTCCAGCTGTAGCCTCGGGGTCCCGGCCAGGCTGTAAAGAAGACTACAATTCCCAGAATGCAGCGCGCCTGAGCATGGCTATTGGGGCCTTTTGGACAGAGGGATGATGTCATTGCAAAAACCCCACTGCATTCATTGTGCCACGGTCTATCCACCCCCCTGCTGCTGGGCTTGTGATTGCCGCTCGCTCCAGCTGAGCTAAGAGTAGCAGCGGCATCAGGGCAGGGACTGACTCCAGCCCTTGGACTTAAGACATCGCACCACCTCACGTGGCGTGCGTGACTCATTCGCACATCATTTCTGTTTATGCCTGGGGTGGGGAGAACTATCCCAAACCAGGTGAGTTGAAGTGTTTTATTCCAATGGTTCTCCCAAGTTACTCCTCCCGCTTAATTTTCAAGGCTTTCTTTTGGGAAGATGGGGGGCGGGAGGGTTGGGAGGTGCTCGCAAGCTCTGCTAAGCGAAGAGCTCTGTGCAATTTGGGTCACTGCAAAGAACAACTCCAGCAACCTTCCCCCGCGGGAGGACCGATTCCTGCCAATGCTCCAGTCGCAACTCCCCTCAGCCTTCCTGAAGCCGAGCGAGGGGGCTGGGCTGGGGGAGGCGCCGGGAAGCGCTCTCGGAGAGTCAGAAGGAGGCAGAGGTGGGGGACTGCAGCCCCGTCACGACCGGCCCGAATGCCGAGGTTTGAGCAGGAAGGGGCGACGCGTGGGGCGACGCGGAGACAGGGATTTCGCGTGGTCGCGCTACTTTAGAACCTTTCTGGGCGGCTTGGCGAGCACGCGCGCTTCGCGTTTAACGCGAGCTCGCTTCTTCCGAGGAGGCTAAGTTTTGCGGGCTCTGTTTTGTACGCGTGCCTCCGCCGTTCGCCTCGCCTTTTCCGCGGGTTGAGGTGACAGTGTCCTTTAACGTGCCACCGCTCCGTGCCCGTCAGGGACATTTCACGTGTCTCGGGGAAGAAGCTGCTCGTCGGCTGCCGGAAGCAGCGTTTCTGGGAAGTGTTCTTTGCCCGACTGCAGGATGTCAGGATTGTTTGGGAGCGGGGCTGACGGATTTGCGCTTGTGCGAGTGTTTTAGATTACATTGCAATAGGCTCCTCGCCCCTGGCGGTGGTACCGAAATGAGCCGCCGTTTCCCGAGGCACAGTCACCGGGCACAGATAACGGTCTGGAGAAGGGATCATTAAGGAAGCCTGGGTCCATTGTACCGCGTCAGGGGAGGGAAAGTTAGCGGCACTGTTAACCTTCATTTGCCATTACTGAGAGGTACCCATGAACGAGGGATCCTGGCCAAGGAAACCAAGGAGCCTAGTAGTGGGTTTTGGTTTTTTTGGTTTTTTTTTGGTTTTTCTTCTTAAAGGAACTGACACATTTAGCAGAAGGCATTCTGACTCGTGTGATATTGGCTCTCTTGTAAGTTATTAGGATGATTGGTGCAATAAATATGTTACTTGGAGATAAACAACTGGCTGACTCAAGAACAGATGGGGCCAATCTTAGCTGAGAGATCTACAACCTTGGAAATGAATGGATGTGGGGTCAACCACACCCCCGGCTTAGAATGTCAAAAGAAGGAGAAATGCCAGTACTTTATGCTTAACTCTAAAATGCCAAATTTTTTTTTATAGTCAAGTCAGGCGTTGGGGGGAAGTCTTTTACTGTTTGTCTTCTGCTGCTGAATAGATTTTGTTCATTTTTAATTCAGACCCTTAGATCTCCAAAGTTACAGCTGGGTGATGCTTCGTTTCATGCTGCTTGTTACTGAATGCAAAAGACAATCCATTGTATGGGCTTTGTAGTAGAGTGATTTATTGGAATGCAATGAGCAGCTTTTGGATTTGGGAGAAGATGGACTGCCTGGCTTTGCCTCTTTCTCTGTCTCTCTGTTGCTTACTGTCTGCTTTTTGGGGGCACCTTACCCTTTTCTCCCCAACCTTCCTTTCCCTACCCTTCTACCTCTCTTGAAGTTCTTTCAGTTTCTTTTCCTGTTTCTCCATTTGCAATTCTCATTTTCCCTCTGTGTTTCAGAATCTCCCTTATCACCAGTATATCACATCTATTTCTTTAAGTCTCTTTCCAATCTCTGATTACCCTCCCCATCCCTTCTTTACCTCCCCCAGAAACTCCAGGCTGCATGGAGACATTGTGAATATTTATTCCACAGAGTTCTCTTTGAGGAGGCTTTGTCTTTTCCTTTTCTTGGCAGAATGAACAACAATGAGCCTGACCCCTTGGCCTGGTTTGTGGCTTCTGTGACAGACATAACTTGGCCCTGGGCACCATGTGAACAATGAAATGTTGCAGTAGAGCGCATGCCAGCTGTATTGCTACCTGTATTAAGAACTGCCAGTGGGTTAGCAAGGTTTTAAAATGCTTTACGTGGAATGTTCTCATGATTCCAAAGAATAAGTAGATTTCAAATGGCTTTTGCCTCATTTAATACATTTTTTCTCTTATTCCTGCTCCAGTAAGTAATGGGAAGGCCCCCTCCCTCCTCTGTTGATTGCTGAAGAGCACCATCCAGGTGGCAAACTGCCTTTCGGTGGGGGGGGAGGGCACCTTGAGCAAAAACATCTTTCTCTCCTGTGGTTTTTTTCTCCATTCTGGATGAAAGAAGTTTGTTATTTTATACCCCTCTCTTAAGAAGAATGGTGTGGTGGTAGTTATATTCGTTTGTTTAACATTAGTGCTTCTCTAGGCATGGAAAGTCTAATGTCTGTCTAGAGGCAACTAGTGTGACAAGCAAATTCAGAAACTGTCATCCTAGACCTCTCTATCACTACCTTCTCATTTCTAATATTCTTCTAAGATGCTCCCTCTCCCAACCACACTTTTTAGTGTTTTAAGGAGGAGAAATGCTATCTCTGTGACCTTGAATAACTATGCATTCTTTCTGTCTCCGTTTACATATTTGCAAATGGATAATGATCTTTGCCCCTTGGTTTACCTGTCCTCATGTCATAGCTTGCTGCAGCCTGGCCCCAGCCTATCATTCTAACAACAGATAGTAATTGAGCAGCTGCTTGTTCTAAGGACTGTGGATGCATCGGTGAAAAGAGAAGCTTCTTTTGCCCTCATGGAGTTTATATTCTAACAGGGGAGACAATCATTGGGCAAGTTATTGGGAGCGTGATGAATGTTATTGACAAAGGGGGATGTATTACAAGGTGGAATAGGAGTGCCTAAATGGTGCTCTCCCCTTGTCCGGAGGAGGTAGGGAAAGTCTCCTGTAGAAGGTGACATTTCAAGAGACTTGAGTGAGTGCAAATACTTTAGGATGGCAATGGGAGGTTCAACTACATATGTAGAAAGATATTAAAAACATCATTGTGACTGTTAAGTGGAGAAGAGATTGGAGAGAACTGACCAAACTGAATGTGTGAAGACCAAGCAGTAAGTCATTTTTGTCGTCTGCATAAGTGATGGTGGCTTGGATCTAAGGTGGTGGCAGAGGGCTTGGAGAGAAGGGAAGAGATTAGAGAGACACAAAGTTTGAAGATTATAATTGATAAAATTGTAGATTGATTGGATGGGGGAATAAGGAGAAGGAGTCACGGTGACTTGAGTTCTTTCTTGAGCCACTGGGTATGCCCTTTACAGAGAACGAGAACACTGGCGGGGGCCAGATTTTTGTTTGCTTTTTTCAAGGAGTGACTTTCGGATACATTGAGTTAGAAGTTCCAGGAATACATCTAAGATCTTTCTCTCACCCTGTCTGCACGTATGATGCAGCACAGTGGAACAGAAGAGAGCTCTGGTGAGAGCTCTTTCGAAGACCAGGCACTACCTCTTTATTAGCTGTATGATGTGGGACATGCCATATTCTTTTTCTGACCTTTAGTTTCCTCGTTCGTAAAATATATGTATTCCACAATTTATACTGATCACCAGGCCTGTGTGCACTGTGCTAGGAAGATACCATTGCATAAGATAGTGTTTGCTTTGGAAGAGTTTGCTCAGGTGAGGGAGAAAGGTAAATAATCACATACAGAGAGGTATGAGGGCTTTGGTAGGAGAGCACATCCCAGAGAGAGGCTTCCATTCTTCTTTCCTGGGGGAAGGGATAGTATCCACAAAGTGGCTGGTGACCTTTGACCTGAGACAGAAGGTAAGAAAGAACTCTTCAGACTGTGTCCCAGGCACTTAATAGAGTACCCTGCATAAGTTAGGGACTCTCTGAGTATCTGTTGATTGAGTGAACTAACCTAGGCCACTAAGGGCCCATTCAAAAGCAGGAAATATCAACATGTTGGAAGAGGCCAATTAGTAATGCAAATGTCAAAAGTGAAATGCTTTTAACACATCCATTAACTTCTATTACTGAGACCTGAAGACTTTGAGATGTTTTGTAGATGTGTGGGGAAATTCAGAAATATTGCAGATCTGGTTTTCTTTTGATCTGCACTTCCTTTATTTGTTAGTTTCTCAAAAGTAATGTTACCTGTGTATAGTTCCCTAAACCAATGGGCCTTAGACTGTTGAATTTTATAGATAAGTAAAAGTTAAAAAAAAAAAAAAAAAAAAAAAAAAAAAAGATAAAATGGGGGGGGGGCTAAGCTATTGACAGTGGTTACTTTTCTATAGTAAAGATATTTTTAAAATGTCCCTTTTCACTTTTATCTCATAAAGGACATTTAATATCAAAAGTTGTAGGAAGAGCATAATTTTAAAATTAAAAATATATTCAGCTTTATAAAAATTATTTACATTTTCTTTATTTTCTCACTTTGTTGGAGAATACTTAAAAGAAGACAATAAAAACACTGAAATTATAATAATTTATGGAACCATTGCCTTATGTTCTTCTCTGTGATGCAAATTTAACCCATATCCAAATGAGAGTGTTTCCAAGTATGGAAGAATTTTATATGGACCGTAGATCATTTATCTTCAGTTTTTTCTCCATAAGAATCCAACCTTTAAAAAGTGGATGGGCCTCTGCAAAGTTAGTCTAAGGTAGGGGTTCTTAACTTGTCCCTGGAGGATCCTCAGAGAGACCATGAACCCCTGAGATCATATATTAAAGAGTATGTGTGTGTGTGTGTGTGTGTGTGTGTGTGTGTGTGTGTGTGTGTGTGAGACAGAGAGAGAGAGAGAGAGAGAGAGAGAGAGAGAGAGAGAGTTCATATATGCATATACATGTTTTTCTATCACTACATGTGTGTCCTTGGACAAGTTACTTAACTTCTCTGAACCTTGTTTCTTTGCCAAGATTGTTGTGAGGGTTAAATGAATTAATATATTTCAAAAGTCTGGCACTATGCCTGGTATAGCTGGTGCTCATGGTAGCTGTTTTTAACATTAGATGTATTTATTGTTTTAAATATTTTATTTATTGAC